TTCCTGCCCTTTGGGCGGGGGGCTGGATTCGATGATCTTCTGAGGTCCCTTCCAGCCCTAATGTCTATGAAGTCAGCATTCAGCTAGATTATGCAAAAAGTATGAAAAAGTGACTGCTCCAACAAATTATTTAAAGGTCACACTGAGTAGTTTATCAAGGTGAAGGTGTCTGAATGGAGCTTTCTGCTTGCCTGATCTGCAGAGACTTCCCTTGCTGTTGCGAGAGATGTACTTGTCCCTTCATGTGCTCAGAATATTTTTGATATAGAGTAAATCCATAGGGCTGCGAGTATTTGGGATTTGAGGGTAACCTGAAAGGTTTTCCACCGAAATGAATCCTAGCTCTTCAATCTAATTTGAATGAAATGCACAAAACCACACTTCACATTATCAAGCAACTCATCCTAAGCTAACTGCAACCTTCAAGTCTAAATGTTACTGACTGGCAAGCAGCTCATGTAAAGTAATGGTGCAAGTTCGTTCCAAGGGAACTTGGGAACAAGCAAAAGATGCAATCCCTTACATTTGTCTAGCTTTTGGAAAATATTGTTTGAGCTATCTTTTATGTTTCCCTTTAAATAGCCAAAGCCCCCTGTGTCTTAGATATTATGAATTGCATGTTTTCTTTGTATTACTGTAATACCTCCAGGCCCAAGGCTTGGATTAGGACCCCTTTGTGCCAGACACTGTAGAAACTTAACAAACCAGGTGCTTACAATCTAGATGCAAAATAAGAATCGGGTGAATATTAATTAAGACCAGGAATTAAAAGAATGAGACAATACCAGTTGACAGAACAAGCCGTGGTCTTAGCATGGCAGCAGTATACCTGTTATCTGATGTTACTTGTAGCCATCGTGGAGTGGTTTTAAGGAGAGTTTTAAGGTACAGATTTAAGGAGAATAAAATGGCTCTCAATGTTTAGGGGAGCTTCTTTTCAAGCAAAGAGAGACAGATAAGAGGAACCCTGTAGAGGCTGGTTAGAAAATTTAACAAGTGAGCAAGGAGGGGCAACTGGAGGCAGGAGGCAATATCTCTCCATTGAATTAAATGATGGGTTGGGAATGGGAATGCAGTGGAAGTGAAGCAAAGACTTCTAGAAAGCTTATTTTATAAAGTAGATAGGGAAGGGCCAGTGGAGGGACACCCATACAAGTGATATGGGGAAAAATGAAAAATAATTTCTGGTTCAGCATTGTGAACAGTCAAAACCAGAAAAGGACATTGCGATAATGAAGATGCAGGCTGATGAGAGCATGGATGAGAACTTCAGTTGTTAGGAAGGTCACATTTTAGAAATGTTATGCAAAAAGATCTGATAATGTTCAGATATAGACATAGCCTAGACCAGAGGATTTAGAGGTGCTGGTCAATCACAATCCCTAGATTACAGACCTAAGTGGTAGACGAGGAGAAGCGTTTCCATATTGACTGAGAAAATAGGTAGCAAAGAGAGAGCTCTGCCTTGAACAGACAGCTTGCTGTCAGGAGATGTGAAAGGGGATTGCAGCAAAAGTCTCAATTTTTCAAATGTGTTATAACTGCAAAGATGATTTTTTTTGCTTACTGTGACCTAGCAAAAACAGAGGAGCTTAGCATAAGGAAGGGGTACAAGTGGAGTGTCTGAAATATTGAGTAGTGGGGTTGTGAAGATACTTTTAAGACATCAGTGAACTCTTGAGCTATGGCTGTGAGCCTAGAAAGATAAAGAATTCAGAGTGGGGGTTAAGTAAGTTATTTTTCAATTCTGAAGTGTGGTGTTTGGAGAATTAGAGAGATGTTACGGTCCTTACTCAAGAGACTTTACAATCCGAGAATTACAAACAAGAATCTTTCCTATTTACCAAGGACTTTTAGCCAGTGGCTCAAGATCTTGTTTTTATGAACTGTTTTAGAAGCCATGCATCCTTAGCTTATCCATCCACAAAATCACCTTTTTTACATAACTGTTAGTTGCAGTTTCAGAAAAATAATCAAGGATTATTTCCAGTTTGGGGACTTCTGGAGGAGAGTAGTATATTACAGTCATTGGCAAGCATTATGCATAAAATAATACAAAAATAATGTTTGTGCTCATCAGATCTGTGCTTTTATTTCAGGTTTGCAGATTTTATCAGGGGCATGCTGAAACTTATACTTCTGCTGCTATTATCTGGAGCAACACTAGCATCCACCTGGTTTACTCTCACCTGTCTAACTAGTGTCACTCACCTGCCTTTAACTACAGGTAACTATAACAATGTTTAATTCTTAAATTATTTTGTTATTCTTGGGCATGTTAAAAATAAATCTGGATTTTCAGTCAGTACAAATGGGCAAAAAATAGCCATTAAATAAAGCCTTTTTGCCCAGCTATTTAAAATGTGCTAAAATGACATTGCCAAGAGATGCATTCATTATAAAACCACAGAATATAAATTAGCATTGGTTTGGGATGAGTCTTTGGAAAGAGTATTAGATATGGATGAATAAAAAAATGACAGATGAGTGGTAGGTGATGCATTTGAAAGAAAATTCAAGAAATTTGGGATCTTCGGATTCACAGCTTATAAATTACTGAACACGAGCCATTTTTTTAATTAATTAACTACCCAAATCTCTGTCCTGTCCAAGTTGACCAAGGTATAGATATCAGCGTGGTTCTTAAGAGACCTTTGTAACACTTTAACAAAAATTATCTTGGTCACAATATCAAACAGATACTCAGATTTAAAATCTTTTTTTTAAATTATTTCGTAATTATCTTACAGGTTCCATCTTTAGTTTATTGAATCTGAAAGCATTTTTTAAAAATCTATTTTAATGTGAAAAATTAAAACAAACTTTCTTTTACATGAAGCTGCTACTTAGTCACGGTCACTTTTAGGTCTTCATGCATCATTGTAATGTTGAAAGAATTCAGGTCAGCTATTTGTTGGTTCCTGTTGGGCATTCAGTAGAAACATTTGTGTGTAAGAAATTGTGCATGAGCTAGTCTTTACAACATCTAAATACAAGGCCAAATTTATCCCGATTAAATCCCTTTTAATTACATCTAGCTCTTGTGTCTGTTGGGTTCATTTTTCCTCTTAATAGGAGCTAGAGAGGAGGGTTCCTTTGGAATCTCTTCATTTTTCTTGTTCCTTCCCCTTTTTCCAAACACTGTGTAGGCTTTCTTTTACTGCAGAGTTATCTGTATCTGAAATATCTTCTTCTGAGTTAGGCTAGTTAGAAAGGGAGCATGCATCCTGTAGAACAACACTTCAGGGTCACAGGGTAACTAGAGTATATAGAGTATATTTCAGAGTGAAAATACCACCCCATGCAGGTTCACAATTTTGTGTGTGAGATGAAACGCAAGTTTAGGGTCAGCACTCAACTCAGGCTAACTGCAAGGATGACAAGCCCACTAGACTATTATTGTTAAAGATATGGCCCATGAGCTGGATCCAGCCTGTGGAACGCTGTCATCCAGCTGCCGGTGCTGCCCCTGTGTCTGTGTTCACCCACATGTTACCGGACTGGTCCTGCACACAGGGTTGGGGATGCTAGCTCCCCTGGTCTAGGATCCATGCTACACATAGTGCCACACCAGCTGGTCCAGAATGTGCCCTGCGCAGTGCCAACCCCAAAACGTGTTCCACACACGGTGCTTGCCACACACAGCACTCGCTCCAGCCATTTTGGGACCTATGCTGCATGCAGTGCCTATGAGTGCCACATGCAGCACAGGTCCTGAACTGGCTGGAGTGGGTGCTGCATGTGGTGCAGATCCCAGAGCAAATGTCACGTGTGCTGGATCTGGTATTGGGTGGAGGGGAAGCAGGTATATCTATGAGCCCAATCCAACCCCTTGCCCAGCTCCACACCTCTCAGCCAGCCTGCGGGGCCAGGTGAGTTTGACACCCCTGCTTTAGATGGAGGAGAGCTTATGCCCTCGGTGACTGCAACATGTATTAACCAAGCCAGGTTGTGTTACTAAGTGACACAGGTCTGCTGCCTTCTGCTTTTTATAGACTGACTATTCTGCTGATGCAGCTCTTACCCCCACTGTTCAGGTTGACCTAATTTATTTCAGAACATTATTAGCAATGAAAACAATGACTCAACATTCAAGTCAGCAAAACTTTCCTTATAAATGGCCTACAGTTTAAGGACCCATTGTACAAAAATCATTGTATACACAGTACATATAACATTAGTTCCTAGCTTTCAGATGGCTACTGCAGTCTAAAACAGCGACACTGGTATTTATTATTTATATAATGCTATCCCCTACGAGCTTCTTGTCAAACACAGCCAAAAGACAGTCCCTAGCCCAAATTCCTCATGACCTAGCAGTTAAATAAGAAACATGTAAATGGATGGAACAAGCAGACAGGGAGAGCTCAAGGAAATGATGAGGCAGTACAGGTCCGCATGGTAGGTAGTAGCCTCAGCATGCCACTGGTGTGTTAGCTGTCAAGTCTTATGTTGGCATCATTGCACATTGCATTTCTAAGTAGCTGTCATGCACTGATCCTTGAGGAGGGTAAAATAAAGCCACTATTTATAAGGCTGTAAAACATTTTGAATTGATGGTGTTGTATCCATCTGACATCGTTAAAGCTATGTATTAACACCCCTGGTGCAGGTATGCTTACATATTATATCTAAAGATAATAAGATAAAAAAGGACATGTATTTTTGTCATTTTTAATGGAAAATTGCGGGGGGAGGTGGCAGGTCTCTGCTATTTTATTCAAATTACCTTTGAGAGTCCAAAAATGCCCTTGGTGCAGTGAATGTGTCACAGCTATAAACCAGAAATAGGTACAGCAAATTGAAATACGTGACCAATGGAGAGGAAATAGCATCTGTACTGGTAGGTCAAATTTTTGATGCATCTTGGAATTTAAATTCAATTTTAAAAAGTCTTTCTCCCTAAAAAATAAACCTGATTTAAAGAATAAACAAATCAAGCTCTGCAGTAGCTGCAGCCATACAGTAGCAATCATGACATTGTTTTCCATCTCAAGTGAAAAAAATGCACTAAACCTTCTTACTCCTTGTGCTTGTCTGCTCCATTATTACATGCCTGCAGTAATGTGGATTTTTACAGAAATTGTATTCTCTGATTTGTTGCATTGAGCCGAACTTAAATTTCTTCTCACTGCCTATGTACAAGAACAAAGCAGACAGGTTTCAAGAGGTGAAAGTCATTATGCATACAGTGATCCAAACCAGACCTGGTATATCAAGATTTTACTTATCAGCCTTTCTCTTTTTTTTAAGAACTCGGTCCACAGTGTAGAAGCCAAAAAAAATACAACAGGCTTCTTATCTCTTTGTGGTTATTCATAACATGTGGCTTCAGCACTGTAAAATTAAAAAGGAAAATCCTAGGATTCTTAAAAATATCTTAAGATACTTAAAACTTTGTCACACAAGTTCATATGTAAGGATTTGAACGTTAAGTTACCTAAATCGGCATGCCATGATAAATATTTAGAGACTGCGTTCTTCTTTTCCATCTGATTGCTTAAAATAGATATATTGTTATTGCCTTCAAAATAGACAGTCCCTTAAATTGGGTTTTTACAAAAGACCCAAATAAAAACAATTTCTTTCCTGTGGTAGATTTTCTGTCCATTTTCTATTTAGGTTTGTTTTAATGGTATACACTGCAAATATTTCAGCACCTTTTAGAGAAAACAAAAAGGTCTTTGAATAGCAGTGCTAACCAAAATGGATGAAAAAGGCTTTACGGCTTTAGGTCCTAACGTAGACCTACCATGCAAGATTTCCTTTTCTTCTATGGCCTAATGTTCAAGCTTTCTTCACAGACAGGCACTTCTTTTTATCAGCTCTTCCTTATAAAAATTAATATAAAATAAATGCAATATGCCTGCTTAATTTAGATCTCCATCCATTGAATCCCAATGATATATCTTTATGAAATACCTTCTTATGGATGAAAACGCACAAGCTATTTAAGTGCTAATTTATAGGACTTCATGCTAGATTATTCCTAAATGTAATGATGTAATGTGATGATGACCTCTGCGCTCCACAGTAATTGGGAGAAACGGTACATTTAAATTGATTTGGTTGAACTTCTTTCTTGTTTAATTAAAAGTTTGAGGATGTAGAGTGTAAGTGAGCCAAAGTATAGGGGGTCAAATGCAGGCTGTTGCTGGCGGATCTTCAGCTTTGAGGAATCAGTTTGATATGTCTGTTTAAACATGGAGGTACCTCTTCATTCTCCGTCAGTGGAGCAGCATTGACATCAGAGGTCGAAGGTGATGTTTGCATTTTTTGTGGTTGGAGGATGAGCACTGTTTGTAGCGGTTTATCACTTTTTGTTAGTATTTTTCTTAGCAATTATTGTCTGGTGCTTTCCACCTTCAAGGCACTTGGAGTTCATTACCTAATCTTCAAAACGTTGCTGGGAATCAGATGTGTACCTCGCCAAAGAGACTGAGACAGTCCAGAATAACTTGTGCAGTGGAGACTCTAGGGAGCTTCCTGCCTCCCCATCTCAGAATGGTTTCTCTCCCAAAAAAGCTTTGTTGCTGTGTGACCATGCCTCACGCACCAGCTTGCACATGTACACCTCATTCTCATGAGCAAAATGAGCCTAGACCTGCAATTCCACAAACCATGATGACATCCAGACACCCCAGTCCAGACTGCTGCTGCTGGGCTGAGGGGGGAGAGATCGCAAAAGTAGTTACAGGAATTGGGAGTCTGAGTGGACTGCTCAGAAGGAGAATGCATGCAAAGTAACAGTGTGGTGGGTGGTCAAGAGGACAGTAGAAACTATAAAGAAGTGGAATACCTCTGGGTCCTGTAAAATGGTTATTAGCAAATGGCTGTCTACACAATGGGGAGGAGAGAAGTGGCTGGTTCAGCAGCATCTTGGACAGTCACACTTGAAACCATTAATGAGGTTGGTGCACTGAACACTTTTGAGCAGCTGAAGAGGTAACCCAAGTTCTGTTTGTTGAACTGTGACATGTATTGGAGAAGCAGATTAGAGAGCTCCCAGTTTTCAGCAGTGGTCCTAAACTCCTAGAAGAAGGTTTCAGACTGGATATAAGGAAAAATTTCTTCACAGTTTGTGAGACCAGACTCTGGAATAGACTCCCAGCAGGGGTGGTTCAGGCACCTACCCTGGAGATCTTCAAAAGGAGACTGGACCCGCATCTCACTGGGGTTATCTGACCCAGCAGTCTTTCCTGCCGAGAGCAGGGGGGCTGGACTCCA